AGATGATCTTAAATCAAATTAACGATTCTATAAATAATACTTTAAATTTTATTCATCTATTAATTTTTATCATTGAAAAATTTAAATATTTTATATCATGATACAACTTCTATAAGATAATAGATACTTTCATTAGACAACAACTATAACATATGTATGCGGCAGAAAAAAGGAGAAGACTACAATTCCACAAAGATAAGATGAAAACTTAATGAAATGAAATATTTTTACCATAGGTGATGTTATTCATATATTAAAATTAAATTATTATACTAAAGTATATATAACCATCATTCATAACAATCAAGTGCACTTTTTTTGGTAAAATTACCTCTCTATGATAGACTTACTCAAATATTAATTGAATAATAATATTTTATAAATGATATGTTACATATAAAGATAAAATATTGAAATACTTATGATAATTTTTATTAGTGTCATGCACATACTAAATTTCAAGTATGAATATTTAAGACAAAATTTCTACTTAAATGATTCACATCATTTATGTTCATAACCTCAATAGGAAAGGCTATTGGTGACATTTTTTGAATGAATATTTTTTTTTCTGTTTTGTTGGTTAGATTTGTTTACAAAATTGAGTGGAGTAAGAAATAATATTATTAAAGAATGTCACTTTCTTTCATATATAAATTTTGAATGTATTTTGAAATGTTTTAACTTTTAATGATATCTGATCATTTTGATTTCAAAATACAAGTAGCTCTGTGACAATGTGTATTAATAATTTAAAAACACTTATCCTATGTTTGTTCAATTATAACTATTTACTAAAAAAACTTTAATTTAGTAATATTAATTCTATTTTACAACATCATATACTATATCTATGATACATACATGCAACGCACGTGCCGTAAAATTAGTTATTTTAAAAGATACGACCTTTCATGATCGATAAATTAACACTTCTGTTAGAAAAGAACATAATCTCAAAACCCTAAGGGGCCGTTTGGTTACTGGTTAGAGTTATGCATATATTAGTTATGTATGTATTAGTTATGTAGGTATTAGTTATGCAGGTATTAGTTATGTAGGTATTAGTTATGCAGATATTAGTTATGTAGGTATTAATTATGCATATATTGGTTATGTAAGTATTCGTTATGCAGGTATTGTTTATGTAGATATTAATTATACAAATATTAGTTATGTAAGTATTATTTATGTAAGATTTCGTTACGTAGAAATTATAATACATATATTATTACTTATTGATTGTTTAATTTATTGTAAATTAATATACATTTTTTTTAAAAAAATAAAAAATTATAAAGCTTGTATCCAAGATAAAATGCAACGGGCCCTTGAGGGGGTGTTGGTGGGTGGGGGGGGGCTGGGGAAGTAGAAATCTATAGGTTGATGCGCACAAATAATAAAATGCAACAGTTCGGGGGGTGGGGGGGTGGGGTGGGGGCAAACAGTTTTCTGGGTGTGTTTGTTGGGCGAGGTGGAGGGGGAGGCAATCACGAAACTAAAAAAATTTGAGTTAGGGGCGTCCTTTTTTTTTTTTTTTAAATGACTCCTAAATCTTGTGAATTAATATTAATATACATTATTATTTACAAATAAATAATTAAGTAAACAAATTAAGGGTAAATATATAATTTTATTATTTTAATCCATGTAAAACTAATACCTTCATAACTTGTTCCACCTTCTACCCCGCATAAAATTATACATAGATTTTCCAATAAGTTATGTGAGTATTAGCTATGTAGAGTTACAAAAATGCAACCAAACACCACATAAATCAATACATGAATAACTTTTATACAACATTTGGAGACACACCAACCAAACATTGTATAAAATTTATACATGAATAATTTTGATTTTATTTACAAACCAAACATGGTATAAAATTAATACATAAATAACCAACTTATTCATGTATTAACTTTGCCCTTATCAAGTAACCAAACGGCCCCTAAAGTCACCTCTCTCACGCCCAACATCACCGACCCATCCCCGACCGGCGCCACGCCACGCACGCCACGATCCCCGGCCGGCGCCTTCTCCGCAGCAGCAGCAGAGGGCGGCAGTAGCAGAAGCAAAGGGCGTCAGCAGCAGCAGAGGGCGGCAGTAGCAGAAGCAAAGGGCGTCAGCAGCAGCAGAGGGCGGCAGCAGCAATCTTGGTAAGTTTTAAATTTTCCATTTGCTCATCAACAATTTGAAAAAGTTTAGGAATATCACTAAAACAAAAAAAAGACAACTCCAACTTATGCATTGACTTGTTTCAAGCCTAAAAAACCAATCTTGATTGTTGATATTAACTTGTCTGATTATCTAAAAGAGTTAATGTATGTGAGGTTTGCTGCTTCTACTGAGGGGAGTACTTAAGTGCATAGTATTGAGAATTGGAGTTTTTGAACTTGTGGATTTGGCCCTGTGAGGCATCCTCATAATGTTTCTGATAATACTGTGATTGTAAAGCCTCCGATTATTCAAGATTCTTGCCATAAACATCATAATAAGAGTCTTGGGTTGGGTTTTGGAATTGGTGGTCCAGCTTTCTTTTGTGCTTCTTGTAGCTTTTGGTTGGATTTCTGTCAAGAAATGGTGGTCTAGCTTTCTTTAAATTTGCACAAATAAGACATCTGTAACAGCAAAACGATGAAAATAAATCCAAAAAACATTGATCAATTGAAAATAGGAGTAACCTATTTTGAATTATCAAGAAAAAGAACTAGAGATGACATGGGAGGAAAGGAACTAGAGATGCTTATCCTTCGGGTGGCCCAGTGGTTTGAGCTTGGGACTTCCATGTTGGAGGTCTCAAGTTCGAAACCCCTTGCCAGCGAAAGCAAGGGGTTTGCCTTCTGGGTCGAGCTCGTCGCACCAGGCTTGCTTAGTGAGGGTTACCTTTCCTATGTGATTTGTGAGCTATTGCATAGGAGCGGGGGTTTTACCCTGTGCGCACCCAAAGGGTAGCGGCTGCGGGTTTCCCTTATCATCAAAAAAAAAAAAAAAACACAAACTTGTTTACTAATTGTTAACTGTTAATAATGATTGAAATCTCTCTATAATGACCATTGAAGAAATTCTTAATTGTTTCTTTTCTTGCTAGGCAACTGAGGAAGCTCAACATCTAAAAAAGTTGATACAAGACTATACTGCTTTTTTCATCAAAGTAGGAGATAAGGTTTGGTGTTTCTAAATTTCTAAAGTTCAAGTACAGTTGTTTTCTATAATGTGTTTGTGTCCATCTAGTTATTTATAAAAACAATATATTAAGTATGTATATTAATAAAATATATGTATATAATTCATCGGTTCGGTTTGGTTATTTCTTCGGTTTTTTCGAATAAAACCATAACCAAACCAAATACTATTGATTTTCAAAAATCTAAAACCAAGCCAAACCAAACCAAACCAAACCCAAATAAAATCGGTTTTATTTTATCGATTTGGTTTGGTTTTTCGGTTTGGATCGATTTTTATCCAAATCGTGAACACCCCAACACACAACAAACCAAAGCACTCACTTAGAAATATTAATTTAAACATAATTTATCTTATCATAATTAATCTATCACATTATAACTTGTATTCAAACCGGATCAAGACTCGGTTTAGACAGATTCAAATTACAATTCTACCCCTGACTAGTTCGTCTTCAGGGTTAGGGCTACGGCCTGGCTGATGCACATTCAAAAGTTGCGCTCAGCGCCATAGCTGCTCACTGCTTTCATCTCTCACGCCTCATTGAGACAGTGCTTCAATCCTCAATCACAGACGATAATTTCTGATTCAGAAGTGCAGAAGCTGTGTATCTAGGTAAAGTAGTGAACTCAGAAGCTGCGATTTCCTCGTCTCTCAGTCTACTCTTCCAACTGGTAAAGTTAATTTTCTGAATTTCACTATGCCAATTTGACCATAAAAGCTTGTGTGAGAGTAGGACTTGGATACAGTATTAGTATTTAGTGCCTGTTTGGATTAACTTATTTTTAGGTGATTTTGATTTTTAAGCACTTTTTAAGTTTTGTAGGTGGTTGGAAAAGTTAAAAAATTGCTTTTAAAAGTAGGTATCATCCTGTACGATTTTTTTTAGTAATGGCGATGATCATTTTTGTTTGTGGACAGTTGGGAAGCTTAGATTAGCTGTAATCTGTAAAGCCACCCTTTTTGAAACAAAAAAAAGTTGTATTATAGAACTACCAGTTTACTCAGCTTAAGGAAGATACATGGAAACAAGTAAAATTTTGTCATCTTTTTTTCCCTAGTGGAGAATATACTCGAAAGTCGAAAGAACCGTCACAACCTGACAGAGAACAACTATTTGGATGCCAAAAGCTAAAAAAAAAAGAGAGGAAAGAGAGAATCAAATCTTCATATCAAAAAGAAGGATACAACATGGGAAGGAACAAAACTTCAGCTACTTTATACCAAAAGCTTATAAATCATGAAGTGTATATCAAACCAAACGGGTAAAAACTTGAAAATGATCACTTTTTATTCGCTGTTGTAGTTCCATAAGAGCTAGCTTATCCTTTTTTCTTCATTGACACACCATACCTTTTTGAAACAAATTTTGAGTATCATAAGAAACACCAAATCAAACTTAGTTCTCTCATTTATTAAGAGGATTAGATGGAATTTTAATTTGTTTGTCTCATAAGAAAGAATAATAAATGAATTTGAATACTGATTTTTTGTTCGTAAAATATATCCTAGTCAGACGAAGGAATGCTGACATGACTCATGTTGTTTTGACTTCACAATTACTCAAATATAAGGAGATTTTAAGAAGTTAACAAAATTGATGTTCTGAAGCACAATAGTAATGCACAGGGTGATTGTCAGAAGAAGGTGTCTTGTTTGTTGTTTAATACGTAATACATTTGCTGCATTATGTCATTGATTGAAGTTTATGGGGCAGTATGGCATCTATATATAAAGTTGTTGTACAATGAAAAAGTAAGGTTTTCCTTCGTCATTGTTTTACACGTTCTCTTTTCTCTTTTCAGCTTTTCTCCTTCACTTCTTTCCCTTCCTCTGTGTGTATCATCCATCACAATTCTTGGTGTTGTTATTTTCTGCTGCGCTGTATGATGGAAAAGCAGTCACTTTGTGATGACAACATGGAGGAAGCAGAGTATATATTGCTTGATCTGGATGACCTTCCCTGCGAAATTTACATTCCCCCAAATGCACCATATGTTCTCTCGGTATGATCCCAAGTTCACCTTTGTGTTTCAATGTTTTGATGTTCTTATAGATTCAAAACTAAGTGATAACCCTTTTGGCCTTTCCTTTAATTTCTTTTGACTTGTTAGTTACTCATTGCTTCTTGAAAACTATTGCAATTGCTTTGTTTCTTTAATTTTGAAACTTTTTTTTTGCAGGGTCTTGACACATTAAACCCCATCTTGACCATCGATGGTAAAATCAAGCTGGTGAGTTGGTGTTTCGAGGCTGATTCAAGTTCATTTTTGTTTTGAATTTATCAATCATGTTTACAGAATTATAATATATCTCCTTAGTGAGATTAGTTGTTTGTGTGGTAATATTCTTATAAAGGTATCTATCTCCTTAGTGACATTAGTCATTACAGTGGTCAGTCATCTTGATCCCCGCTGACATCCTTACACCCCAAAAGGCCACCACACTTACATCAGTGACATTGCACTCACTTTACTGTCTAGCTATTTCTTGCAAAATAGACAATAATGCACTTAAATAAAACTTTATGGCTGATAGGTCTCAGTCCTCACTCCTCACAGTTTTGTCTTCCATTCGTGAGAAAGATATAGACAGATTGTATCCATTTCAACTCCCTTGTTTTTTCTGGCGAGTCGTTAGTTGAAATCTTTCTAGAACAAAAGAGTTGGTGAAGGGAAAACAAAGTATATATAATGGAGAGTGGGTGTAACAATTGTGGTTATACACTCCAAATATGTTGTATCTTTTGATTATCCTCACATGCATTTGAACCCCCGTTGGGCAATTAAGCTGATTAGTCCATATGCTATTTTCGTACCGTAGAAGTGTGTTTATCTCAACTGTTGTTTATTTCTGTTTTGCAGATTGGACAGTATGATGAGACTATTGGGACATGCCTTGTTTTTGATGAAAGTGGTAAGCCATGTTCCTCTCCGCAACATATTATAATAGAACAAGAGAAGGAATGAGCTACTTTTTTGATTACTTTAATCTAGCTTCAACGTTGCTGGTGGTGTTCCATCTCATCCCAAAAAATATTTTTAAAAAATAAGAGGGAGTTCTTCTTTGCTTGTTTCTATCATACAAAAATCTGCCTGGGGTCGGAACTTGATTCTTTATAACTGAACTGCAGTTAGATGTTTTTTAGGGGTGCAGATTAGTTTACTGTTTTCTAATTTTGGTTTTCTGGTGCAATTCTGACACTGGGCTGCCTCCTGGTATCCGTGAATGATAATTTTTGACAACATTAGGCACATAGTAGACTGTGAACCAGGGAATCTGTCGTTTTTAGGTTCATATGAATGGAGTACGTTTTTTTCTGGAACCTGTCCTCTAACATAATGTTGCATTCGACACAATGAAACATAAAAATAGGAGGGGGCCTTCAGAATTTTAGTCCACGACTCCTTGGCGCATGTCTTTTTCTATTAAGACTTGCATCCAGTATTTCTAGTTTCATGATTTTTGCATATTAGTTGGATAATATAAAAAAAACAAAAATTCTTCAAATCAATCTGGAATTTTATCACCAAGTAAACGTTTCTGCAGATACACCTCCGGTGGTCCATGAAGAGGCGGGGCCTTCTGAAGCTAACCTTTTCCCAGGAAGGCCTACGTTAGATCCTAAGCAAACCAAGTCCAAACAAGTCAAGCCTGTAACACAGCTTCAAAAGATACTTAAATTCAGGTTGTTGCAGAATAGTGAAACTGGAGATGCAAGAGAGAAGACAAAAGAAGATTAGGTAACCGAGTGTTTTAGTAACTTAGATGCTACTACTCGAGAATGTACAGTGGAGTCGAAACAGAGCTATTATGACGTAGCAATGGTGTAGCATGGATAATACTAGCATTTTTCTTTACAAGTACTAGTATATGTTAACGATATAGTTGGTTGAGAACTCAGATATTGCACATTGAGCAGCAACTGAATTTGGCAGATAGAATCAGTTGGATACAAAAAGCTATTAGTACTTTATAATTTGCTCCTTTTATTATTATCGATGGAAAGCAGAGTTAGATTATTATCTTTGTTGCTTCAGTATCCTTAGAGATAGCTGGTCTGAACAAAGAGGATGCTGACACCATAGTTGCACCAGTTAGAGTATTTTTGGGTTTGGGTCAAAGGGTATCTCAATCTTATATATATCTTTATTCTACTGGGATTTACGATAAAATCTGTATTTGTTACCAACACGTTTAGGATTGATATATTTGGCCAATTGGGTTACAATTCAGCAATGTGCTTAATATCCTTCAACTAGGTGTATACTATTCTTTTAGTGCTTATGGTTGTCCACAGAGTAGTGATTGACTATAGTTGGTATAATCTTTATGTGTGCTTTCCAGGGAGGCGAACCTGACTATAAGACTGCTGCCAAGATGGTTCTCCATGATTGGCAAAGAGGCAAAATTCCGCCTCCAAAGCTGGATGATGCTGCCTCTGATGAGCAAAATGAACTTGTCACTGAGGCAGACACAGCCGTGGATAACAATCAAGCCACAGCTGCTCTCAAAGCTATTGCTGACGTCGTTTCATCACAACAACTGAAGGAAGTTCCTGTTCAGGAGGAACTATTTAGTAAGGCTGAGTTGTTGGGTGAAAATTGAAATGGACGGTTCATTTAAGACTTGCAACTCCTGTAGCACCCTCAATGGCATCAGCAGCCATTGCACAGTTCTGAAATTGAGTTGTTCTATATCATTCTTACATCTTTAAGTTAGGTCCATTGCTTTCTGAGAGTTTTCTAGTCCTAGTAGAGATTGATATGCGGATCGAAAATATAGATATCTCGTATTTTATTTTAATGTTTATTTCGAATTTTGTCTTATTTACGGAATTGAATTGGTATGAGCTTAAATGGAAATGATTCATATTGTTTATCTCAACTTGTTTAAGATTGAAGCTTTATTCTCTGGGTTTTCAGTGTTTGTGCGCTGCAGCCTGCAGTGAATTGAATTGCTGCATAAAATTTTGACTTAGAGTTTAATAAAGTGGAGAGAGATTTTTCGACAATAATCTAATCGAGATGATAGATCACCTTATGATTGATGTGATTATAAGTCAAGGGATAAAAAGATATCTTATCACCGACAATCTGTTCAGGATTTCATACTCAACGAGGGCAACTAAATACGAGGCCGGTTGCACTCATTATGAAACTTAACTCAACACCTTACGATACGAGCTGATGATTCAATACTAATTTTACTCAGTCAATTGCAAATTACTAAATTTATAATCAAATTAATTACTATTTGATTTTATTTTTCAAAAGGATAAAAAAACTAGAAAATTAATCCATCTCAATTTGAAACTCCTTTAATTTAATTTAATTGGCACGTAGGGAGTTGGGGACTTAATTATAATTTAATATATTTAATTGTGCCTAACATGTAGCTGTCCCTTCGATTTATTATTTGTAACATCCTCAATAAGTTGAATAGCTTGTTTGCTTAATTATTTTGTGATTTGTGTTAGCAAATACCGACACCCATTATCCTCATGTGCCATGTTCTAGATATTAATATTTGCCTTCAATCATTAAAATTATAATCATCTCGACTCATGACATAATTATTTTTTACTTAATTACAACAATATATTCAGTATAATTATATAAATAGGGTTTGGAAGAATAAAGGATATACAAAACTTATATTTAGCTTGAAAGGTTTAGAAGTAATTTCTGATAGGCCCTTACGTAAAAATAAATAAATTTACTTAGTTAAAGTCCTTAATTCTTCCCAACTCACTTATATCATTTTTTACTTAATTAATTAAAGCTTTGATCCTTTATTCAAGACTAATTTTTTTTTTTAAAAAAATCACCTTATCCTCCCTTGCAAGTACTCCCTCTATTTCATTTTACTTGTTCATTTTAATAAATTTAGAGGGTTTTATTGTGTTTTTTTTCATATTTTCTCTTAGTATTAAATAACTACATAAAATAATGTTTGATCAAATTTAGAGTTCAAAACATCATTAATAAGGTTAATTTTATAAAATACATCTCTAATTAAAGCTTTTTAAAGAGATTTATTAAATCAATATACGTCAAGTAATATAAAACGAAGAAAGTATTTACTGATTTCTTCTTGTCCCTACCATTTTTGAATTATTGAGTTATTAGAGGCTTTATGCATCAAAAGAAGCACTTAACTTTGTTTTACATAAAATGAGGTTGAGTACAATGGATTCCTTATCATTTTGTGTCTTTTTATTTCTTTTTATCTATTTACTTTATGGATGTTACACACAATTGAAAGTAACTGTGTTTACACACACAAAATAATGTGATGATGATATTTATAAACGAATTCAGAATTTAAAATGTATGAATTATAATAATTATGTTTATGATAGATATTTTATCGTCCTTTAGCTTATGTCTTATGCTATTTGTTGTCATAGAAGCTTTGAGATTGAGTAGCACTTACTCCATCCGCCTATCTTTAACAATTAGATGACTTATAATCAATATGGATGATGCAATATGTTTTTTTATTTCTTAAGAAATGTACTAAATCAATTATGAACAAATAAAAATGAATGAAGCTGACGTGTTAAAAGACAAACCAATTTGAGAGTCAAGTCACATTAAATAATTTTCTAATCCTTATTGCCTTTTTATTTTACCACCTTTTTAACTCACTTTAATTATCACTATTCTTTATTAGAGATTGATACGTTCATACTTCATCGTGAATGGACTTTATATTTTTTTTTTTAATCAAGTCAAAATCTAGTATAAACATTACCAATATATACATTTGACATTTCTATATAATTTTCTTAAAAAAGAAAATCATAAATACCAGGGTTGAAATCGATCCACCTTAGGTATTTATTTGTCAAAAAATTACACTATCAAAATATATATATAAAAAAATGTAAAGTAATATTAGTGTACAATATGCAATTTAATTTAATTCCTGGTTCAATCAATTAAATACATTATTCATTTAACCACAATAATTAGAAGTACGAGTATTTTTTTTTTCTTCTTCTATTCTTGTATAAATATATCTTGGTAATCTGTATCATGATTAATCAATAATCAATAACTCTCCTTATCACCAAGTGGGAGTAACTAATTATCAAATGGACCTTATCATTAAATTTGTAGCTAATTAGCTCAGCTAAGATCCACAGATCAGCATCTAGCTTGATACACTCATCATGTTCTCTTTCTATTATTTTTTCGAGCGCGAAATCAGAATTTGTATTAAGAGATCAATCGTCTGAAATATGAAGAAGTTAAATACAATTGGAAAAGTTGAAACTCATTATCTACTAATACTATATATACATAATAAATAAATTTAACTTTATATATACGGTATAACTTTTTATCGTTCGTTGACTCCGCCCCTAATAATTTTCCTACACTATTATTATAGTAATATAATATTAGTAGAAGGTAGTATACTAGATATTTAGTTGTTATTGTTTTGTGTATCCACGTTCTTGCATACATCATCCACCTAGTGAATCCCATTTCTTATTTTTCTTACACTCAAAAAATATTTACATAATTAAACTATTTAAATAATAATTAAAGTAATTCTTTCTAATTTTTTACGTTAATTAATATCTTAGAATAAATATTAGTACTTAGCATGCTCTGACGTGATTAAATTGTATTAATAATGTAAATAATCATCATATTTTGTTTGTATAATTAACTTAAGCAATTACTTATGAGGTAAAAATTAACCCAGGGAAATTATTTTACCAACCAACGTGAGATATATTATTGGTTCATTAATTAAAAGATATATACTCAGTAAATTATTGTTGACTTTATAAGTGAAAGACTATTTAAAATGTACAATTGACAGAATTTTTCATTAGTTTTTTTTTTAATCGTAAGCTCAAACGTCATGCTCCTCACATTCAACAATTAGTAGCTAGATTATGAAAAAACAACAACTAGTAACTAGGTTGATCAATTTATTTGTGTTGTGTTTTTTCTTGTTCGATGTCTGATTAGTAAAAGTGACTTCATTCTTATTATAATTTAAACTCGAAATATATTTTTATATATTTGTTAGTAACGATATAACATATATCAATTGTATATGTACTTCAGTACAATATTTAATATTTTCATAATTTTTTTTATAAATATCAAATATATATCAAATACCAATCTAAATTGTAGTATATATGCACCAAGATAATTTAATATCTACCAAAGTATTCACACCCCTATTCATAGAGTTTTGGAGGTAGGGTACGCAAGAGATTCATCGAAGACTTAAAATAATTATACTACTAGTATATTCTTCTCAATTTTTTAATATATATATATAGTCGATTAAATTTGAATTTGCGCTAGAAAGCTCTACATTGAGAATAAATCCCTCTCTAATAAAGACGATCTCATACACATGGAAAGCAAATATGAGACATTTGAATAAGAACGAAGAAATATTTATCACTTCACTACAATCTTCATTGACGTAGTATTTTTATTTTTTTTACCTGAACTGGTGGATGTCTATCTGTCAGTATTCAGTACGAAGTAGCAAAGAAATTAGAGCCCCAGAAACTACAAGGAAGCTAATTACTCTTACTTGCTCCAGCTCATTTTCAGACATCAATGCCCAAAGAAGCTCCCACACTGCTTTTCAATATTTTTTCACTATTATTTAGTTCAAATGACCACACTTTCTTTTGTCTTTTATTTTGCTTCTTTTCTGTAGTAAGTAATGTTCTTTCTTTAATTAACATGTTCCTAAAAGACACACTCTTTACTCAGACAAAATCAGCTATTTTAAACTCAAAACCCCATAAAGATTGGACCTTTCTGCAATTAGTGTAAAGAGTAGTTGTTTTTAGTTTCAAGTATCATTTTATTACCTCAAATTATTTGGTGGGTCTTAGGTCTAGACATCAAATCAAATCTGTAGTAGTTGCATTGGCAAATCAAGAATTGTGGGTCAAATTAGCTTCTTCTTTTTTTTGCTGGCTGGTAGCTTCTTTTTTTTTTTGCTGGTTGGTTTGAGTCCAAATCAGAGTCAATACATCTTTTTGAAAGTTCAGTCTTTGTTGGAATAGCTAAAGAAACATACCCCAAGTGGCAGATTTCACTATTTTAGAATGTGAAAGATTATAAAAGATTCACAGTAGAGGGACAATGATTCTTGATTTATTGTACTAAGGAAAATGCAAGAAAGGTTGGGTTTTTATGTTGCTAGTAGAACTTATCAGTCAAGTGAACTGACAGAAAGTTTTGATTTTTTCTGTAATTAGTAGAGTTTAATTTGATTTGAAGTTAAAAGTTAAAAATTTGAAGTTCTGGTAGATTAGTTGTAAAGACATTTGGCTGAAATGTCTGGAGAAGATACACAAGAACTTCGTTCGTTGGCCTTGACACCAACATGGTCTGTTGCTTCTGTATTGACTATATTTGTTTCTGTTTCACTGCTTGTGGAGCGATCCATTCGATCACAGGTTATCTAATGTAAGCAAGGTTCTCTTTTGCACTGTTTGGATTGTGTAGTCTTGTTGGTTTTATTGGAAGAATTGAGTCGAGCTTGTATTGGAAATAGCCTCTCTACCTTTGAGGTAGGGCTAAGGTTTGCGTATACCTTGCCCTTACCAGACACCACTTTATGGGATTACACGGGTTATGTTGTTGTTGGTTTTATTGGAAGAATGTTATAGGAGTCCAGTACCAATTAAGGAGTTCATAGTCCTACTGTATATACAAAAGAATTGATGTTGTATATATAGTGTAATTTTCCGGGCAAAGGAATTCATGACTAACTTTTGTTCATGTTTGAGTCTGTGTTATTCTGGACTTTTGTAGATATTCATGTTGTATGTTCTCAGAAATATAGGGGGTGGGGGAGGATATATGATTAGAATATGCCTGCTAGATATCATGAAATGCTCACCCTAAAAAAATAGTTGTCTAATAAGAATGATTCACATACATATCTCTAAGAATAAGTATTTGATCATTTAGGTTAAAAAATGAAAAAAGTTTCACATGATGGTTAGTGATATGAATCATTTTCATATAAAGCTTGGACAATCTAATTTTATATAGCATTAGAGTTAGATACAGCTCTCCTAATAATGAATTCCCAATTTAAAATTATTCATGTATAAATCTGCTCTAATAATATTTGTAGTATGATGACATCTATCGATCTATTCTTCGAGAGGAACATTCGTCATCTATCTACATACTCTTCTAGAGGAACATTTGTAGTTTACTTACAATTAATAATGTATCTATATTTCTATTAGATTCGTCATCCTTAACATTTATTTTGATTATGTTTATCTTGCATTGTCGGTTCAACAACATGCACAACTATTTTGATCATTTTTTTCTTGCATTACTGGCTTATTATGTAAAATTAGCTCCTCAATCTAATTCACACACTAAAAAAATTATTTAAAAAGAAAAAAGATTGTGCAAGTCTTATGACTATCTTATTAACACTTTTTCATTTTTGAAGAATTTCAAAATTATTTGAAAAATTAATTACATGGTACTAGTTATTTCATCCGCTTGAATTTATTTGCCTTACTTTTCTTTTAGTCTGTTATAAAAGAATGTTTTTTCCTTTTTTACAATTTTTATAATTCTAACTTTAGACATGACATGAAATATTTAAGACCAAAAAATTAAAAAGCATTTTGATAAATTTGACATATCTTTAATTTAAAATCATAAGATTGAAATATCTTCTATATTTTTTAAAACTTTATAATAAGTCAAAATAAAAACAAATAAATTGAAAGAGTGGGAGTAGGACTTTTCTTTAGGCCAGCAGTTAGGATGGGGGTTTGTATCCTCCTCACCCTAAAATTCTCGAATACTAAAGTATCTACTAATTTACTAAAATCTGAGTTATCCAATCTTATCTTGGCTTCTCCCTTGAATCATCTTGGGGAAAAGGTCGGATTTAGATGGTCTATCTCTTCATGAATCGCAGGAGGGGGTGATCTGCAAAATGATTTTTTGATTAACAACATACCCGGTATAATTCAACAAGTGGAGTTTGAGGTAGAGAGGATGTTTCAAATAGATCCTCGACTCACAAAAGGAATTTTTTATTAGTGAATGATAAAATATCAACTGATTCAAATATTTTCTATATGTTTTAAGCTTCAGTCTAATATTCTAAAAACTGCATACTTAGAAACAATTTTTCCTTTTCGGTACAAGAGTGCATTCACAGAAACAACAAGCATAAACTTTTAGTATTGTGCAATCTCATTTCATACCTTACGGCGTGTCGGCCTTCTTGGCTAATGATTTAAAATGTTTTGCGTGTTTCTTCTCTGTTCCAGCAGAAGGCTTACTGCCAAGTTGATGAGCTTTTCCTTTCTTCACAAAGGTAAAAGAGGACGAAATTAGTAAAACATAATTGGGGAATCAAGCACGAGTGTAGCAAGATCTAGCCAGTGCATAACACGTTATATATAAAAAGCATCAAGATGCATGCTGCATAATTACAAACAAGAGGTGTGTTAGCTCGAATACATCAGAAACAAACTAGGCTAAGTAAGATCAGGGAGCTAACGGAACCAAAGTTCATCATTGTTATTTAATGAAGTCAAGTTATTCCAACTAAACAAGTTAAGTAAACATCTAGATCGTGCTCTTATTTATGAGCTATTCAATATATATTACATAACACGAAGCTCACTATCAAGTAACTCTGTCCACCAAGGCCTGATGGGAAGAAATTATCCCATGACCAATACAAAGGTTTACAGTGAGTCGGATAGAGATTGACAAACAAATCAAGTTCTTAAGCAAATAGACTAAGGAAAAGACACTATGCATACCTTCTTGTGCTCATTCACAAGGGACATGGGCAAATTACTTCCATTCATTATGATATTGTAGTTACTTGAAAGCCGATCCGGAATCTCTTCTCTAAAGGATTCCAATTTCTCCTGACTAATCACCCGAGTATTGACTGTAGAATCCCGAAAATCATATCAATTTCAGACGATTCACATATAATCCACCATAATAGCAATTGAACAATAAGAAAATCAAAACATATTCAGCTAAAATTAAACATTAATACACCTTGCTCCTGTGATCCAATTCACTAATAACGTCGTCAATTCGACCAATTTTTGTATCACAAACTATATATAAAACCTGAAAGTTACAATTAACCTTATAATGACGAACGAATAGATTCTACATGCATTCATAAAACTTTTTGGGGAGAGTACATACTGAACCATCGGGGATCTGGTTGTATCCTCGTTGACGGAAGCTGCTTTGATTGATACTCGTGCTTCAATACTTTCCCCTTCCGATCACGCTTCGGCCTACAATTATACATCTTCAGCCGCCGTGTAGTGGCGGAGCTACGGTGGCCAATTTTGTTCTTCGCCATTTTGAGTGAATGAAAAAAATAGGGCTTTTTAAAATATTACTCCATGCACGGTTCTGTCAACAGAATATGTATTGCGATTTTGTTCTCATAATTACCGTAAGATCCTCTAAACTTTAGCTTATTTGTCTTTTGCATACTAAACCTTTTCATATTTACTCCTTTTCCCGGATATCCTGACTATTGATTTTTTTTTTTTGACTTTCGGAGAAATAAATTGTACTACCACTTGTTCTACTTTGGACTTTACATGATTTGATGACAAATTAAAATGGACAAATAATATGTCAAGGTTATTTTTATTTTTGATTTCTCACCCGATGTGATACCTTCGACTAAATCTAGGTTTATGTTGAAAAGTTCCACATTGACGGTTTTGGTCTCCCACTTGATTTCTGATACCCACATTATAATCCGAGTAAATCCGAATTTGCATTGGAATTGAAAGTCCCACATTGGGATTTTTTGGCTTACCACCTAATGTCTAGTATTCACATTGGAGCCCGACTGAATCGGAATTTGCATCGAAAAGTCCCTTGGGTAAAACTTTTCCCTAACAAAGGGAACTCCGTACCCAGAAGGAACTCAAACTCGAGACCTTTGATTAAAGATAAAAGAACACTTACCACTCTACCACAACCTTGTTAGGGTCAAGGTCATTGAGATATAGCCATTTTTTGAAAACCAAAACAACATAATTGTCATTAACTTCATAATAAGATTTCAAAGGATTTTCTTATATCTACATTCAATGAAAGAATTGTGTAAACAAGGGGATGAGAGATACATCAAATAATAATAAAAGGAGATAATTATAAAGTAATAGCCTTTTGTATCCAACTAATTCTATCTGCCATATTCAGTTGCTGCTCATTGTGCAATATCTGAGTTCTGAACCAGCTATATCGTTAGCATATACTAGTACTAATAAAGAAAAATTGCTAATATTATCCATGCTACGCCGTAATAGCTCTGTTTCGACTCCACTGTACATTCTCGAGTAGTAGCATCTAAGTTACCTAATCTTCTTTTGGCTTCTCTCTTGCATCTTCAGTTTCACTATTCTGCAACAACCTGAATTTAAGTATCTTCTGAAGCTGTGTTACAGGCTTGACTTGTTTGGACTTGGTGCTTACTTAGGATCTAACGTGGGCCTTCCTGGGAAAAGGTTAGCTTCAGAAGGTCCCGCCTCTTCATGAACGTAACCAGTATCTGCAAAAACCTTTGCTTGGTGATAAAATTCTATATCTTTGCAGTGGCCCTCTAGCTCTGGGGATTCGTGGTGGGCTTTATGCTGTTTAATGTAAAAGGTACTTCATCCTCCTCTGTTTGGCATGAGGAGCGTATGCATGCCACACTTATTTTTTATCATTAGATAAGTTTGCATTTTACTGCTCCCCGACATTTGTGTTCTGGTGAAACTAAAATTCATCCACAATCTCATGCATGACCATTGACCAATTGAACTTAAACATGCAGGATCGAATCTGTATTTCTGGATAGCGTTAATTCCTATCATTGCAATTCTGTTTTGTGAGTACTCTTTTTCATAAATGCAATGCCTATTTCCCTTTCTCTTTATTCCTTGCCGCGTAGTGGAAGACTTGACTGTGACCCAGCATGAGTCATCTTTCTTAATTACTAATATTTATCTCTTCCCTTACATGCATTCTGAATTATCTTGTATATTATATGAACTTATGGATGTGATAGAAGATATATATATAAATAGTCATTTACCTCGTGGGTACAAAACTGCAGCATGTAATCGCAACCTTGGCATTGGAGAGTGCTGCAATTACTGGCTCATTCTCAATGGTCAAGCTAAAACCACGAGACGAACTTTTTTGTCCTTTTCCAGGTTTGTTTGTACAATCATACTTCATTTTTTTAATTGTTTCGTCTATCTACTACGTTCTTTAATGTCTGTCTATATACACTAACTTGTTTTTGCATGCTTACTCTTGCAGAATGCATTTTTTTTGGTTCTGGGTATTCATTCACTGGTCCCTGAAATACTAATGATTCTTTGTCGGAGTTGGACAAAACCATGTTTCCTCCCTTAAATACTTCCTTAGACAAAACCATATTCTCTATTCCATGTGCTTGCATGCATATGTTTGTTTCCATTTGTATGTTGTGAATATCTGAGTTTTGACAAAGTTACGTCTTTATTCCAGTGGCAATTTGGGTATAACTCATGTTTCATAAAGAAGAATAGTTGACCAAAACAAGCTATTATTTGATTCAATTCACCAAAGTAATATGAAACAAAACTAGTATAAACGTTGTTGGTAGTAATGTATTAGGCTTTATTTCATTTTAAAAAATAAATGGACCAAAAATAGTAGGGAGACGGCATTAAAGAAGATTTATGTTACTAGCAGTAACGTTTTAGGCTTAAAATGTTACCATCAGTAACGAATCTCTGCAAATCTGCCACTTTCGAATCTTTGTACCAAGTTTTGTTATTACGAAGCAGGTTTTAATGATAAAACGTTACTCCTAGTAACGATTCTGTCGAATCAAATCACGTCTCCCAACTGAGAATCTTTGTACGAAATCTGACGTTAAAGTCGTTACTATGAGTCACGTTTTAAGACTAAAACGTTACTTTGAGTAACGATTCTATCGAATCATGTCACCAGGCTCTGAATATGTCTTATTGATTTGATCTGCCAATAAAACGTTACTATACGTTACGTTTTAACTTTAAAACGTTACTATACGTTACATTTTAACTTTAAAACGTGACTGACAGTAACAACAAACTGTTAAAGTGTTCCTTTTACAATTTGACCACGGATCATTATAAGAAATGGTGGTGTAGAATGTTTAGCACATTCCAATAATTTTCTACAAAGCTTCTGTTTATGTGTCCCATTGTTGAATCAATGCTCACAAAATTTTAATAGGTAAGTCTTGTCAACATTTTGTAATGTATTTATAAAAACATATTTTTAATAACTATAATGCATCTTATTTTTGTGTGTAGAATTTTTTATGGCTAATTTTGAAGATAACGTGATGATTATTTTGTATTGGGGTGATGAAATAATCACTGAGATGAAGGGAAAGAAGAAGGTTTCTCAAAACCACCATAGTTGTAGATCTGGACTAACCAATGTATTTTGGAAAGTTCCTTTCAGTATTTTCTTTTTGTTTGGATGGTGACATTTGTGGATATGAATGAATAATAGGTCCATGTGACCACAATTCACTTAAAAAAAGAAGATGAGGGTAACGTTTTACACCTACAACGTTACTCATAGTAACGTTTATTCATTTAACATCGTCAACTCTGTCAGTTGAATTTTTGAAATAAAAATAACCTAAAACGTTACTCTGAAGTACGTTTATATTACTTTTGTAAAAAATTTAAAAAGCGTGTTAGTTAGGTGAATTGGTTTTAAAAATAACTTATTTTGGTCAAAAATTCCATAAAGAACCACACACTTGTGTATCTACGACTCATTATGGGGTATGTGTAATTACCAACTGTATTTGTATGTACTATTGTTTAAGGTTTTAGATTTACCAACGTATATTTATATGGGTAAATCACATAAATATGCTATGTTATAAAAATATTTACCATCTATGGCAACAAAATTTTTCTAACTAAATATAACATTTTTTTGGAATTAAGAAAATTGTACAGTCTTCGCCTCTTTCTCAGCCCTTTTTTCTCTTCTTCTTTTTACTCTTCTGCTTATTCGTCTCTTTCTCTGACACTATTTTGCTTCCTCCTTTTTTTTTTCCTCTTCTTCTTTGAAATTTTCATTCAAATAACTATCCTCAAATCAGTTTTTTTCCCATATTTCACTATTTTTATCCAAAAACAAGATGAAAAGAGGAATAGAAAGACCGAAAATTTGTACAAAATCATGTTTTTAAGCAGAAATTTTAAATCTCTAAAATTACAGAAGCAAGAGTTCACCATTGATGGTCATTATAAAGCTTCAAATTTTGAATTCATTATTTGAATTTTACGAATTTGTGATTAGTTTGGATAGGTAGTTCGTACAAATAATTGAAAATGTCATTTGGAGTTTGTATCTCAATTTTAAGAGGGTTTGGTTTAGTTTATAATTGATTTTAGGAGAAATATTAGATTGAAACTCGAAAAAGGTGAAGTTTATGGAACTGTATCGCAATTGTATTAAAGTTGTATTAGATATGTTTCATAATTGTATTAAAATCATGAACAATACATTTATAATACATATTACAAACTTCTCTCCTTTTTTAGTGATATCAACCAAAATAATTTAAGTAACAAATTTGTTATACATTTATAACATAGGCATAATACATATTACAAATGTTCGAGATACAAACCAAAATAATTTATAAGACACATATAATACATATTTTATTCATGAATAATACAAGTTTAATTCAGTCTATAGATTATTGTCTTGACTTTCGTTAGTTACATTTTGCATTGCTAATTTTCTTTTCTAATTCAACTTTAATATTATGTAATACACTTTTAACACAAATTTAATTCATTTTGTAGTTTATTATTTGTTACTATTAGATTACTTGTTTAATTCATTATTGATTTAAGTTTAATTCACTCTATAGACCATTGTTTGTGTTTCATTAGTTATATTTTTTATCCATGCTTAATTCTCTCTTCTAATTCAACTTTAATATTTGTGTAATGCACTTTTAATACAAGTTAATTCATTTTGCAGTTTATTGGTTGATTTGTTATGATTGAATTACTTGTTTAATTCATTGTTGATACAAGTTTTATTCAATTTACAATAATGCTCTTTCGTTTGCTACATTTTGCATTCATGTTTAATTCACTTCTAATTCAACTTTAATATGTGTGTAATACATTTTTAATTCAAGTTTAATTCATTTGACAGTTTATTATGTCTCTTCATTTGTTACGATTAAATTACTTGTCTAATTAATTATTGATACAAGTTTTATGCAGTCTACGAATCATTGACTCCTCTTTCGTTTGCGATTAGTTTGGATAGGTT